GGGTTTTGTTCACAAGTGAGGGAAGGATGGAACGTAAGATTGACCGGCGGATTGGTGCAGTGGCAGCAGTAATGCAGTCCATAGTGGTAAAGAAGGAGCTGAGCTGAAAGGCAAAGCTCTCGATTTAATGGTCAATCTACGTTTTTACTTTCACCTATGGTCATGAGCTTTGGGTCATGACCGAAAGGACAAGATCTCATATACAAGCGGCCAAAATGAGTTTCCCTCGCAGGGTGGCAGTGCGCACCCTTATGGATGGGGTGAGAAGCTCTGTCACCCAGAGGAGCTCAGAGTTGATCCACTGTTCCTCCACATCAAGAGAAGTCAGCTGGGGTGGCTGAGCATCTGTTTTCTGTTCCTCGGAGGAGCATTTGTCAACACCAGGGGTCAAACATTAAAGAGATCAACCAAAAGTAAAAATGTACTCACTACATATTCACCCTCAAGCGGTTCCAAACCTTGATGAGTTTCTTTCTTCTTTATAACACAAAAGAAGATATTTTGAAGAAAGCTGAAAACCTGCAACCATCGACTTCCAGAAGAAAAAACAAATGCCATGAAAGTCAATGGTTACATGTTTCCAGCTTTCTTCAAAGTATCTTATCTTTTCAAAGTATATTTGTGTTCAACAGAAGAAAGAAACTCATGATGGTTTGAAACAAGTAAAAAGTGAGTGAATGATGACAGAATTTTTAGTTTTGTACACTTTTAAATATTTCTGTAAATTACACAGTATTTAATTGTAAAATGAAATGTATTTTACTGTAGGACAGTTTTACAGTATGTTACTGTATTTTAAAGTTGCATTGTGGAAAATATCCTCTTGGCGCCATTAAAATACAGTATTTTTTAAAACAAATGAGCAGGAAACATGACAAATCGAAGGGTTATTTTTTTCTGCTTGGAACCTGAAGGATATATATCTGAACTATCCCTTTAATAAGTTTATTTCCGCTATCTGACGAATGTTGGAAAACAGCAACCATTTATATCCTTAGTAAGAACAAAAAATATCCGTTTCTAACATTCTTCAAAATATCTTTTTTATGTTCAACAGAAGAAGAAATAAAAAACTCAAACAGGTTTGGAAAAAGTAAAGGATGAGTTAACAATTACATAATTTTAAGTTTTGGGTGAACTATTTCTTAAATGACACTGCATAACTCTTGACAGACACAACAAATCCAGGAAGAACTTTAATAACCCAAGAAAAAAGACCAGTACATGTGAAATGCAATGCTTACGCGTAAACAGGACAGACCACAAGCTGAACAAAACAAGGAGTGTATTTATATATATATATACACTATGAGGGACCAAAACAGTAACAGCAGAACAGAACAATTGTGATTTTTTTTTCTCTTTGTTTTACACATTTTAATCTCATTTTAATCATTTTTATTTGTTGTTTTTATTTCTTATACTTGTTTCTTTTATTATTGTTTATGTGAAGCACTTTGAATTACTATTGTGTATGAAATGTGCCATATGAATAAAATTGCCTAGCATTGCCTTCCTCTTTATGAAATGTGCCATGGGATTTTTAATGACCGCAGAGAGTCAGGACCTCAGTTTTTAATGTCTCATCCGAAAGATGGATAAGATGGATGAGGGTAATTACTAATTACTCTCCCTCATGGTGTTTTAATAATCCCCTGAGATGTTCGTTTATCTTCAGAATACAGATTATGATATATCAGGGGAAATTTGAGAGCTCTCTCATGTGCACACAAAGATATTGTCATAGCTTGATAATATTTCGATTGAACTCCTGTAGCATTCATTCATTCATTCATTCACTCATTCATTTATTTTCCTGTGGCTTAGTCCTTTTATTTATCAGGGGTCGCCACAGCAGAATGAACCGCCAACTAAGCAAGCATATGTTTTATATAGTGAATGCCCTAACAGCAACCCAATACTGGGAAACATCCATACACACTAGTTCACACACATAAACTACGGCTAATTTAGTTTATTCAATTCACCTGTATCACGTCTTTGGACTGTGGGGGAAACCAGAGCACCTGGAGGAAACCCACATAAACATAGGGAGAACATGCAAACTCCACACAGAAACGCCAACTGATCCAGCCTGGACTCGAACCAGCGACCTTCTTGCTGTGAAGCGACAGTGTTGGATGATGTTTTGTCTTATTTTTCTGACTGAATCTTGCTGGGGTGTGCTCAGATTTAATCTGAAACATCTTTATTTGTGTTCTGAAAATGAATAAAGTTGTCAGGGTTTTTTAACCAACATGAGTGTGAGTAAATATTAAAATTTTTTGGTTCATTTAAATAAATAAAAAAATGCACATAATTATAAAAATTATGTTGTCAACTAGTTTACTTACTTTTTAAAGTATATTACGCTGTAAAAAATGCTAGGTTCCACAAAGTTCCTTCATGTTGTCCCAACACAAATCGATTAAGTTAACTTAAGCGGGGCACATGGAAACACTTTTTGGTTTTCGCCAAATAAAGAATGGGGTTAGACAAGCCATATTTTTTACACTAACAACACACAAGCCTCTCCTACACAAGGGCACTGAAAGTATGATTGCCAAACCTATGATTTATGTGCAGTATTGCCAAAAGTGCCAGGAGTAGATATTGCTGTCTACTATTGACCCCACCTGCGGAACAACTTGTAACAGACAGAGGGTTAGTTGTAACATATTAAAAAATCCGATTTTACACAATTCATTTAAATGTAGTAATTTGAACAGTTAAATAGTATACTTCCTCAGTACTTAACAATTTTTTTTTTATTCTACATAGAACAGCATGTTTATTCATTTATCTGTTGGATAAACACATTTGGATTTATTTGCATTATTGTCTATTATTATACATGGTGATTAAAAAAGAACACAACTTTGAAAATCTGTATTTAATCAACGAAACATGATAAAACCTGGAGTAATTATTCAATGTGAAGCGTACTTAACAAAGTTTTTTTTTCAATAGAAAACAAATTTATAGATGTTCAATGTGACCTCCTCTAGACACTTGAGTGACATCAACCTGAAAGTTGTGGTATTCGTTTTGAATCACCCTATTAAAAAAAAAATGTTTTATTTAAAAAGTTCCCAACATTCAAAAGTTCCCAAAATGCTAAAAATATTTTGTTAGCTTGATTGGTGTCTAACAGTGTGTGTTTTTTTGTAAGACCCTGTTACCCCGCTGTGTCGTGTCCTCCCCCAAGGCTGGCTAGCAGTGTGTGTTTTTTTGACATCTTTTAACCTAAAAGACGGTAATCACAATATAAGATTTTACGTACATACTTTAACAGATTAAAAAAAAAAAGAGTAAAATAAAATTATTTTTTTTATCCAAATTTTCAAAATTTTTAAAATAATTGTCAGGAAGACGTCTGCCGATACTGTGGTGAAAACCTCGGAAGCATGCCATGGTTACCCCTAAGCAAATACCTTACTGTAAAAAAATCTGTTATTTTATTTTATTTTTTTCAGAGTGCTGAAAAAAAGTAAAATAACAGTCATTAAATCACAGAAATTTACCATTAAATAACGACTGTTAAATTACAGAAATCTGCCTTAAAACAACGGACATTAAATTACAGAAATTTCCTTAAATTTACATTGCCAGTAAATTTCTTTAATTTAACGTCTGTTATTTTATGGCAAATTTCCGTAATTTAACAGCTGTTATTTAAAAAAAAAATTTTTTCCAGCAGATGGGGTGCCAGTAAAAAAAGAAAAATAATGGCTGATAAATTACAGAAATTTACCAATAATGACCGTTAGATTGTAGAAATTTACCATAAAACAAAGGGCGTTAACTTACAGAAATTTACTGTTAGATTACCAAAATTGACTGTAAAACAACAAACGTTCAATTACAGAAATTTGCCATAAAAAACGCCCGTTAGATTACAGAAATTTACCATAAAACAACGGATGTTAAATTACAGAAATTTACTGTAAAATAACGGCCGTTAGATTACAGAAATTTATCGTAAAGCAACGGACGTTAAATTACAGAAATTTCTGTAATTTAATGGCCGTAATTTTCCATTTTATTTCCTGTACTTTTTTCACAAAAAAAGTAAAATAACTGATTTTTTTTTTTACAAGATCGTGTTACTTTGTGCCCTGGGCTCTCTTAGTTTTTAGAGTTTTTCCAAATTTAACTGAACTGAACAAAAAAACTATTCAAGAACTGTGTTGATTCAACTAATTTATAATAAGTATTGAACAAGCAGCAAAAATAAAATTGAGTGTAAGTCATCACTATTTACAGTGTAGTGTACTTTGAGATAATCTGTATTGTTTAAAGTTTTAAAGAATTAATAAGTGAGTAAAATGAACATTTTAATAATTTAAACAAGATTTGTCTTCTATTAGGAATGCATGCAAACAATCTATATGAGTGTCCGAACTAGAGGACCATTGTCCTGTGAAATTTAGTTTCAACCTTAATTAGACACACCTGGGCTAGCTAATCAAGCTCTCAATAGGCTTTCTAGAAACATCTTCGTAGGTGTGTTGAGGCAAGTTGGAGCTAAAATCTGAAGGACGCCGGCCTTCGAGACTGAGTATGGACACCCCTGTTCTATATAAGGACGTTGATGGTTTCAAAAGCTGAAATAAAAATTCCTCAAGTATATCAATGATGTTGTGCACAATTGCCTCAACAAATAGACATGTGAATGAATTTAACTGTGAGTGAATAACTATTAAAAAAATATAAGCAATAAACAATTAGAATGCTGAACTTTTAAACCTTAAGAATGACACCTGAACAACTTTTCTTCCGCCTTATCTCGATCCGTATCTGCCCGAAGGTTGTTTTGGCTGCGTTCAAATAGTTCCCTATGTCAAACAATCGTCTGCTGTTCTCCAAATGACATTCATTAGTTACTGTCTTTTCATCTTTCCCGGCTGAAGGAAAAGACCTCGTAAAGACACGCCTCTACAGTAAACCACATTGCTGACAGTTCAGGTTCTGTGGCTCTAGTCGGTGTGTCATACGAATTCAAGCCACACCTTTCACCACACTCTTTTTTTCCCTGCCCAGGTCAAAAATGTAAGACGGGAAGAGCAGTAAACTGTTTGTTATTCTCATCCAACTTCAATCACATCCTGCGCACACCTGAAATACCAAGGTAGGACTGTTCTTAATATCATATCTGTATGCTTTATATGTGTTTCTGAATTCTCTTCATCCTTTTTCATGGTTAAAATTGTCTCCTTTTTTTATAAAATGAAAGGGATTTTGGGTTAACAGCATGCGATTGTGTCTAAAAATGTTTTTGTTTCTTCATTAAAATGTATTATACTGATTTGTATCTGTTGTATGAAAATCAGATATTTTGAGTTTTTGATTGTCAAGGTGAGGCTGAAGGACACAACATTGCATTTGACAAAATTTCAGATAAAACTTTGACAGTGGGTTACTTCTCGTATTAAAAGACAAATCTTCATCACCAGTATTAGTACAGTTTCCTGACTGATGTTTTTAACTGATTTGAAAGTTATTTGTTATTTAAGGAGACACAATTGTAATTAGCAAAGATGTTTATAAATAGTCTGAGTTTTTAAAAAAAACTCAAGATTTTATTAATGAATGATAATACATATAATTGTGTTTGAGTTAGAAATACATTTTATTTAATTTTCTAAACTGTTGATATGTTTTCCAAGTTTAAAATAAAAAGGTTTCTATTTACAGTTTCTTTTAGGCATAAACAAAAATATTTACATGCGTTCAGACATATTTGTATTTATTTTTGGAAATATTTATTGACAGTTTAGTCAAAATATTAATGTTTTAAGTTAAGAGTAAAGAAATCAATATTTGGAGGAATGAGCCAGCATTTTCGATCACAACAAATAAAAACATTTTCTATTTTTGAAAAACTAATCGCTCTAAATGACAATTTTTTTATTTGAAATTTGGAAGAACATTTATCATACATTTTTGCTGTGATATGAGTTACAAATACACTTACTAAATTGTCATTCAGTGTAACACTGCACCAGAAACACTTGGTATTTGATCATGCATATTTCGAACAAGGCTGAACAGTGGCACAGTGGGTAGCACGATCACCTCACAGCAAGAAGGTCGCTGATTCGAGCCTCGGCTGGGTCAGTTGGGATTTCTGTGTGGAGTTTGCATGTTCTCCCCGTGTTCATGTGGGTTTCCTTTGGGTGCTCCGGTTTACCCCACAAGTCCAAAGACAGGCACTATAGTGAATATGTGAATGAGTGTGTATGGATGTTTCCCAGTAATGGGTTCCAGCTGAAAGAGCATCGGCTGCGTAAAACATATGTTGGATAAGTTGGTGGTTCATTCCGCTGTGGCGACCCCAGATTAATAAAGGGACTAAGCTGAAAAGAAAATGCATGAATGGATGAATAAATATTTCGAACAATTTGATGGCATATATGGTTTTTGAGATCAGATACAGTTGCAGCTGGAAGTTAACAAGAATGATTTGTATTATTTATTAAATTTGTCATTTATTGTATTTCTTTAACGTCTACCCCCCACCCCAACCCGAAACCCAACTGTAACAGCAATGTAAAAACAGTAGTTGTACAGATAATTATTTATGTTATTTTTTAAATTACCCAATATTTTATTAACACCTACCCCCACCCCAACCCTAAACCCAACCGGCACAGTACTGTATAAAGTGTTACAAAAATAATGCAATATTGATGTGTGTATCCGCAGGTGTCCCCTATCTAGACTTTACTCAAACTGCAGCTCCAAAATAGTTTTAAAAATTTTTATTTTTGAAAATTACACCAGATTTAACTGTAATATCAATTTTATTTAAATGTTTACATTTTGGAAAAAATTTTTTTGAAGCCATTAAAATTGTATTTTTTATATGCTGTAAATGAAATTACAGTAAAAACAAAAACGAGCATGAAACCTGACCAATCATAAAAAATACAGTAAATTACCATTTTTACTATTTTACAGTAAATAGATAAATGGACAATGAATAACAAGTAAATTTCTTTATTGTATGAACACACGTTGCAGTTAAGAAGTCTTTTATCTAAGTTATTTTATAATTTTCATATTTACAAAATACTGTATATTTACAAAAAATATTAACACAGTAATTTTACTGCAAGTTTGATTTACAGTAAAGTCTGCCAGTAGGTTACTGTAAATTCTACAGGAAATTGTTATATAATTGTTAATTGTGTATATTTTACTATGTTCACTTTTTTAATAAATTTTAATAAGTAGGTCAGAATAGGAATGTTTAAAGGAACATAAAAGAACATTACGCTGAAGGAATAATTATTTTGCCCATAATTTTTATTTTCACAAAACTATTTGAATCATCAGAAAGAGACTTTCCATATCGTCACTTTTTTAAAAAAATTATAATGTTCTATCTTACATTTTTGTCAAAATTGAGTTATTGACATATTCTTATTAAATGACAACTTATTTACATCATGGGATGTATTTTTATAAGTTGTTTGCATTTTAAGACTTTTTATTTTTAAAACAAATGTTACACACATACACATAAATATCACATGAGTTTAACATTAAAATAACATGTGGAACACATGTGAATCACGCATGAAGTGCTGTTCACTTACATTCAATATGCTGTCTGTGTATATGAAATCATGTTTGTATTTTTAATGCACACACTGCAAAATAGGATGTCTGATCTTCAGCCACTAAAAATGAAAAGCACCAAATAATAGTTGATATCATTATTGCAGTTACAAACTTTCCCACATAAAATCCAGTGAAACCTGTCAGCTGATGTTAGTGCATGTGATGTCTATTGTATGTGAAGCTTCTTTCCAAGCATGAGAATGCTGCCATGGTTACAGGTTGTTGGCAGGTGTTTAAACAGGGTGTGTCTTTACAGGCATCAGGACAGACTAGTTTTGGGTGTAACCAGGAGAGTTAAAGGGCAGTGCAAAATCAAACATCACCGTGGGATAGACAAATGTATTATTAGAATGGAATGTATTAACCGTGATTTGTAAAATCATAGTGTTTTAGCTATTGGCACCTTGTGGATAGTCTAGTATGACACACTAAACATAATAATGTGCATTCCATTTTACAGCGTAAACCATGTCTTTCACCGGAAAATCAAACAGCCAATCAGGTGAGAAAATGACTAAATATATTGTTCTCAAAATAAAAAAATACAGTTGAAGTCAAAAGTGTACATATACCTTACAGAATCTACAAAATGTTGACTATTATTATTATTATTATAGATTTTTTTATATAGTAATAAACTGAATAGGATATATTAAAGAAGAGACATTATACGAGACAAAATGATAGTTGTAAAAAGAAAATTCAGATGATACTCACTCCAGAAAGTAACGAGATGCATTTAGAGCTTATAGCGTGTGACAACCTTTTGTAAATTTTGTCTTCTGGAAAACATGTATGTATCTTTTGTAGCTTCTGAAAGGCAGTACTTAATTAAAAAATAAGTATATAAAAACAGAAATATAAAATATATACATTTTAATATCAGATAAATAAACATCTTATAGGGGTCAGTAATACATCTTAAATCATGCCTCTTTAGTTTTTTGTTTCTCACTCAAAAACTTATTTTTTTCTGTTTGATGACACTAAAATGAGCTGAAACAACACAATCTGTAAGTTTTTTTTGGGACAACTTAATTGTTTTAAGTTCAATCCAATTATGCTCAATTTAATTGGTTAAAACAATTAAATGAACTTAATTGATTTTTGTGGAATTATGGCGACCCATCCTTTTTTACAGTATTGTTTAGTTTTTATCTTCAAAACAAAAAGCTAAATAATGCAGAAAAATGCTAAAGTTTCACAAATCAATATGTAGAAAATCCTGGACGAGCCTCCAAGTTCATGTTACAAGTCAAAGTCAAAATTTATGGACAACAAAACATAAATATGGTTCACAGAGTCTAATGGTCATGAATGATGAAACTTTAATACAAATAAGAATAAATTCAACAAAAGACATGACGACCCCTCCAAAGGAAAAAAAGAAAGCCTCACACTTTCAATCTTGAATGTTAAAAAGTTCTGTCATGCTCCCAAAAAACAAAAAGAGTTGAGTCTCATACAACTAAAAAAAATACTGAACCTAAACTACAAAAGTGTTGGATTTTTTTAAATTAACTAAACAAAAATTAATGTAAGGTGTGGTGTTACAAACATCTGGGAACCGAAGGCGAGAGAGTGTGGCCCCTTGCTATTGGGGTGGTATTTATACAAGATGGCTAACCTTAATCAACAAAAGCTATGGAATATCATCACATTTTGGAACATCACATGAAAATACTCAATGGAAATGACAAGATGTGCATACATTTTAAATATGTACATAAAAAACTGAGTAGGATAATCTTCTATATAATATATCTTGCTATAAGTTAAATAAACATCTTATTCAAGTCAGTAAATCCTAAATGATCCCTCTTTAGTTTTTTGTTTTTCACTCAAAATATTATTTTTGCTGCTTCAAACAAAAATGAGTTGAGAAAACACAATTCTTGATTTTTTTTGGGACAAATTAATTGTTTTATGTCCTATCCACTTAAATTTATTAAAACATTTAAGTTAACTGGTTTGTTGAGACAGCATTTTTTACAGTATTGTTAAGTTTTTATTTTCTAAACAAAAAGCTAAATGATACAGCAAAAATTGAAAAGTTTCACAAATCAATATGTAGAATATCCCGGACAAGCCCCCAAGTTCAAGTCAAAAGTCAAAATTTATGCACAATATAACATAAATAAGGTTCACAGAGTAGTTATGTCACGAATGATAATTCTTTAAAACAAATAAGAAAAATTTCAACAAAAGACATGATAACCCCCCCCCCCCCCCCCCCCCAAACAACAAAAAGCCTATGATGAAGACACATTTACCAAATATATCCCAGCATGCGCATTAAACAAAAGTTATACTATTTCATTTTAACAGTATTAAAAATAAGCGTGAACTTTAATGAAAAAACCAGTGGACAGACCACTTTGTAATACATCTAAAATGTTGTTTTGGTCAATCTAAAATCCCTTGACCAAAATCCATCATCAAAGTGGTTTAGTATTAGTACCTTACAGAAACAAATGTGCTTCCAAAGAGCGGTCCCATGCAGGCCTTCAAAAGCCACAGCACATTAATTGCAAGTAATTTATTAAAAAAATAAATAAAAGAGCTACAAAAATAAAACCCAGATGCTTCTCCTACTACTACTACAAAAAAACATTGTACTTTTTAATATTTGGCACCAGGGAGTGAAGATTTTTTTGTCTTTTAAAAAAAAAAAAAATTTTTTATGCAAAATTCATATCTAATTGTTTTGCATATCTAATTAGCATATTTGGATGGAAACATAGCTACAGACACATCCAAAGACCATCATCAAAGCTCCAACTACAATAGCAAAACAAACAACAACAACAAAAGTGAACACACAAAAAAATCACATTTTGTAGATTTTGCAAGGTGTAAGTACATCCATAATCAAGTTATTAATATTATTTTTGATCAAAACAGGCACAACTTCAAGCACAGGATCCATTAATCCAGTGAATGAAAGCAAAAAGAAAACATCCCTGCTAAAAGACAATAGCTGGATCAAGTCAAATGTGAACGAAGACCAGAAAGTCGAGTAAGTTTTAGCAAATTCATTATCCAGACAGAACATCTTGTTTAACATATCACCTCTGTAATAGACTTATACTGTAAATATTTCAAATGACGTATATGTCTCTGGCAGACTAAACCAGTGATTAACAGAACTTGTGTTTCTCATTTCTCAACAGACAAGAGACGAACTTTGGGAAAACTGTTCTGAGCCGTTACAAGTCCAATGAAAGCCTCACAAGGTTTTAAATCTTATTTAAATGCCATAGTTGTTGATCTCACATTGCCACTTTATACTGAATATGACATTATGTTCTTCTTTTAATTTTTTTTAACAAAGCCCTCAAGATAAAACTAGCAAAACTGAGACTAAAACCACTACTGTCACTACTTCACCTGGCTCTTCTGTTCAAGCTCTCAGTAAAAGGTAACACATTCAGCACTTTCACACAGTGAAAATGTTAAGTTATGTCATATACATATCTTCAGCTTAATAATAACAACATGCAAAGAACGCAACACTCTGGTTTACAAATTTGATTCAAATAACACATTATATAACTTCTCTCTAGCAGCCTTTTTCTCATAAGAAAACTTATTTAAGTGAGATATAAGCTGGAAATATGAGATATACAAGGTTGAAATTATGATATTAGAGGATATAACTGTTACATGAAAAGTCAATGATGTCAAATGTTTAGTTTAAAAAAATCACAAATATCAAACAAAATGTCAGAACACATACAAGTTATTATTATGACACAATGGAAATCATAACAAAACTGGAAATGAAAAGGATAAACTGAAATGCAAAGTCATTTAAAGCTTAAATTATCACAAATCATATGGCATAAATTCTAAATAATTAGTTCAGATCAAGATATAAGGTGTTATTTGTGTGTGTGTGTGTGGGGGGGGGGGTATAATTATTTTATTTATGAACAGATCAAAAAGCATCATGCAGCTATTTTTCAGTGATTTTGATATTTTGTAAGAATTGTTTTTCAACTTTACGTTTTTAACACTGCGTTTTTATGAAGAGGCTATTTACATAGAGCCATACACTACCTGAAAAAAAGTCTTGTCGCCTATCCAAGTTTTAGAAATAACAAATAATAACTTGACTTCTAGTTGATCATTTGGTATCAGAAGTGGCTTATATGAAAGGCAAAGGCCTCTAGATTACATTTATTTTACCAAATGAAATATGACCATGCCTTGATTTTTAATTATTTAATTAGCACAGTAAAGTCTGACTTTGCTTAGACAAAAGTCTGTCACTATATCTTACAAAAGTACAATCTGATTGCATAGCTTTTATTGTGCTCCTCGCCAAACAACTAATATTGCTTAGGTGGAAGGATCAGAAACCTCCAACCCCAACACAGTGGATCCGTGATGTCCTCATCTTTGTAAAGTTGAAAAAATTAGACTGTCTAGAGGTTCATCTAACCAGTTTAAGAAAATGTGGGACCCATTTAGGAAACATACCCAATAACATGTTTTATTTTCAACCACAAACCAAGTCCTTGTTCCAACAAATTCATTTTTTTCATTTCTAAGTGCAAAGTAGAGTGTATTGTGTGCTTCAGATTGTACAATTGTAGTTTTTGTTGAGCCACATTATTATTTACCTTTTTATTTGTTAGTATGTTTTTTTATTTTTTATTTTGTTTGCTTGTTTTTTTTCATATTGTTTGTGATTAAGTTGATGCTACCTATATACATTTTTTAATATAATTTAGTTTTTTCTTCTTTTTTTTTACTGTAATTTGCCATAAAAGGTTATTATTATTATTTTTTTAGTCTGTCACTTAACAGAAAATATGTACAGTATAGAATATAAAGCCATAGTGCAGTGGAAAAAGAATGAATATTGTGTATGACTCCCATGAGCTTGGAGGACTGCGTCCATACATCTCTGCAATGACTCAAATAACTTATTAATAAAGTCATCTGGAATGGCAAAGAAAGCGTCCTTACAGGACTCCCGGAGTTCATCAGTATTCTTTGGATTCATCGTCAATGCCCCCTCCTCCATCCTAGCCCAGACATGCTCAATAATGTTCATGTCTAGTGACTGGACTAGCCAATCCTGGATCACCTTGACCTTCTTTGCTTTCAGGAACTTTGATGTGGAGGCTGAAGTATGAGAAGGAGCGCTATCCTGCTGAAGAATTTGCCCTCTCCTGTGGTTTGCAATGCAATGAGCACCACAAATGTCTTGATACCTTAGGTTGTTGATGTTGCAATCTATCTCGCACACGCCCCCACACTGAATGTAACCACAAACCATGATTTTTCCTTCACCAAACTTGACTGATTTTGGTGAGAATCTTGGGTCCATGTGAGTTCCAATAGGTCTTCTGCAGTATTTCATTTGAGCCCTTAATAACATCTCTAGGGGCGCCAAAACTGCGTAGAACCCATATAATTGCCATAACAGTCTTTTAACAGATTTTCGATACAAGGATCATCTGCAGCATGTCGCAACTCTTTCACCCATATCTCTGCAAATCTTTGCACAGGGAATGAGGCAACCTCTGAGCCATTTACTGAATTGAACAGCAGGCTGTTCAGCATTAAGACATTTGTTCTGTTTCATCCATCAGTGAGAATGGTTCATTGCACTGAAACCTCATTCACACTCAGCTTTAAAAATCATAAGTGTAGAGACAGTAATGAGCACTTTGCGCAGATTCTTTAAATGTTATTCGGTCGTAATTGTTTTTCAAGTGACCATAACAGACCTTCAATCAAACATACAAACCTCTCAGTCATTGACTATTAGAATTAGCTAAAGGAAAGGGAGTGAATGTTTTTTGTAATCAATTTGTAAAAACATCTTAAGGCAGGGCTGATAATATTGAACTTAATTTTTTTTTTTATTGGTTGTTTATATCACGTTTATGATTTAATTGTGAGACGTGGCTTCTGATATGGTGCTATGGTCTTATATGATTGTTTTCCTTTTGTAGATTTGGTGGGAGCCAAGACAAGCTGAATGAAACCAGGTAAAACAAACGCTTATCACTGCAGCATCTCATCCATCCAGAAGTTGTAAATCAGACAGTTGTAAATCTATGAACTAGTACAATATGTTTAACACACTAATACAATACAATAATCTGACAAACAACATGATTGTACATTTAAAGAGATAGTTCAGACAAAAATGAATTATTTCCTGCCTCTTTTTTGCTGAACACAAAAGCAGATACCTTAAAGAATGATAATAGCTGGCACCCATTGACTTTTACAGTTGGAAAAAAATACTATTAAAGTCAATGGGTGCCAGCAATAAACATTTTTTTTCTATTTATGTTCTATTGTGTTCATCAGAAGAAAGACAAGTAATAAGTGTGAGTGATTGATAATTTTCATCTTTGGGTGAACTATTAAACTAGTCACTACTGTTCGGAAGGGTGATGAGAATTCAACAATGATGGGAATTTAAAACATTTTAAGAGCTCTTTTGTCTTTCCAACCCAACCCTACAGAACCCCATTAAATAAACCATCCGTGAAATCGCTGCCCAGGACAAGGTAATGCTTCGAAAGTCTCCGAGACACACCCGTTTAAATGTCAGATGAATGATAACTGGCTTCTTACAAAAATAATGATCACTCTTTCAGCACTACCAGCACGACAACAACAGTCAAAAATGGTACAAAGACAACTGAGACGACTGTGACCACTACCAAGTAAGATACTGAGCGAATATGTTATATGTGTTGTGCTATTCAGTTTACAGTCAGAGGAAATGTAAAGAATGACAAGATCAATCCAAACAGTTTCTGTTATTCTAAAGCAGTTTTTGCTATTTTAACTGTTTTTTTAATCATTTTTCCACTAGACAGGATGTGGTGAAATCATCTACCAAACTCGAGACAGTCAATGATAGAAACCCGGCAGATTCAAGTACCAGGAGAACAGGGTAAATCAGTTCACTCTAACAAGCATTTGATCATAGATTTTAATTGAGCTCTACACTTAAAGGTGTGTGTTGTTGCATTATAATGAATATTAAATGCATAGTTCACCCAAAAGTAATAACACCTCACCATTTTCTCACCCTCAAGTAGTCACAAACATTTACAAGTTTATTTTGTGTTGTTGTTGTTGAACACAAAATAAGATATTTTGAGGAATGTTTAGAAGTGGTAACCACTGATATCCATAGTGGGGGAAAAAAAACACTGTGGAAGTCAATGGTTACATATTTCCAAGGTTTTTAAAATATCTTCAAAGAAAGAAACTCGGTAACACTTTATTTTGATGGTCCATTTGAGTATTAGTAGACTGTCTGCTTAATATCTGTTGATACTGCTCCTTCAACAGATATGTAACTGATAATAAGAAACTTTGCAAGTATATGTCAACTTACACTATCCCGACCCCAACGTAACAGTCTACTTAATCTAATGAAAATTAGCTGGCAAGTAGATGCAATTTAACCTTAATTCAACAAACAGACCATCAAAATAAAGTGTGACTAGAAACTCAAACATGTTTGTGACAAGTGAAGTGTGGGTAAAGGATGACAGATTTTTAAAATTATCTTCTTTAAAGCAATTTAATTGAAATTGGCACTTTTAAAAACGCATTTTATACATTTTAAGTGGCTGTGTGACAAACGTAGATACACTATTCAAAACTAAATGGCCTTTATGTAGAATTTATAAACTGTTATTAGTGATACCAGTGGCTGTTAAGTGAAATGCAGGCAGCAACCTGTGAGAGATCAAACATGGCGGCAAAAGTCTATAAAGGTCAATAAATTTAGATCTGGTTTTCAAAATCTCAAGTTTAAATTGGGTACTACCAAAGAAAGAGAAAACAAAGAAATGAGTGCCACCTTGAACCTGAGGTTGCAGTATTGTGACTGCTAAAGAGTAAAACTTTGTATTATTGCATTGCATTAGGATTTGTTTTATTTGCGTCTATAACGCATGACAAGGACTCCCATACATCAAACTTGCCTGATGTGGATTTCCTAACAGTAAACTGACCGTTTTCTAATGCAAGCTTTCAAGTACAGGGCATCTTCAGTTTGCTCTGCCATGTTGGTAAAGCATGTTCAGTAATCTGTGTTAGGAACTTTTCATATAGTATTGAGGGTCTCTGTATGTCTCATTGCACATGTTATCTGTTCCTAAAGTGACTACAAAACAACAAGACAAGAGGACATCACTGTGAAGTCATCAAAGGACACTGTTGATGGGTGAGTGTTAAAGCAGAAGCTCATAATTCAATTATTGTTAGTTGCATTTGTACTTTTTTTAATGTGTATTTAAAAAAATAAACCTTTAATTCTTTTTGTGTAGACCGTCTTCACCTGTCAAGACCACTACAAGGTAGAGTAAGCATAGCCTTTTTTTAAATATCTGACTGTGATTTCTTTGACTTTCTAAACATCTTAATGTTTTGAATTCAAGCATCAAAAGCTACACCAAGGAGGACGTTTTACCAGCTAAAACAACACCATATTCTGTCCAATCCACAAAGAGGTGAGAACCTGACAGAGCATGCTTTGCTTTCAGTTACTTTATGACAAAAAGGGTCACTGAATGTTTTTCCACAGCTCTGAGAATCTCACACCAACATCATCAATCATGACAACTAACACAAAACCTGAAATCAGGTAAGTGGTATCTAAATGACTCAATCAATAACGTATTTTAATCAGAATTTAAACCTCAGCCTTCTACATGATTCTGTAGTTCCACTGCTGATCTGAATCTGAACTGAAAATCTAGTATTTATTGCTAAATGAACTTGTTTGTTCCTAAAGTGACTCCAAGACTGAAGTGGTTACTGTAAAGTCATCAAAGACTATCATTGATACGTAAGTGCCTCATCTGATGGAGAGAACATGCTAAATACAAAGAAATCAAACGTGTCTTATCATATATTCTTCCATTAGAATTAGTCTTTAAGTAGTATGCATTTGTTGTTTACTTTAAATCTCAAAAATATACAATGAATAAAACAACCTACTGTATGTGGTTGAATGGTCGCTCACAGCAGGAAGGTCCCTGGTTTGAGTCCTGGCTGAGCCAGGATGTCTTTTTGTTGGCATGTTCTCCTCATGATCGTGTTAGTTTGCTCCATGTGTTAGGGTTTTACACACAGTCCAAGACATGTGATATAGGTGAATTGGATAACTAAATTGGCTGTAGTGTGCAAGTGCATGTTTGTGTTTTATTTGCATGCTAGTGCAAAGGGATGTGTCTTTAGTAGATTTAGAAGGAAAGAGTGTGTCTGCCTCCCAAACTGTGTTAGAAAAACTGTTCCACAGTTTAGGCACAAGTTATGAAATAAATATTTTCATTTTTTTTTTTTTGCAAGGGACAAAAAAAATCCCTTTATAGTACACAATTTCACATAAAACTACAGAAAATACACAATGGCTGTATATTTTAGTTTCACACTCATTAACATTTGTGAATTTACAGTACAAATAGTGACAATTGGTGACATCGCAATAAAAGTCTATATAAATGTATTTTGTGTGTGTGTGTGTGAAATAAGGGAATGTGCCCCATGGTATATATGAAGTGTCTCCATAACAGTTCTTAGTTTGGCAAGCCCTGTTAAAGAAGGGAATAAGCCAAGGGAAAGTAAGTGAATGAGGGAGAAAAAGACACATGAGTGTACTTAATAAAATATGGTTAACTTTTTATACTATAATAAATGCTGGTGTCACACGGGAGACCCTGACAAGGGAAATGTGGATTCAAATGCAGGTTTATTAAACAGAGAATGGTCAGACAGGCAATGTCATAATCAGGAGCAAATGGTTGTATACAGGGAATCCATAGTCGTAGTCGAATACAGGCAGGCAGCAGGCAACATAAAAAAACAAATAAACAAGGCTAAGGTCAAAAACACTGCAGAACAAGGCAAGGAAAACCCGCCATAATGTTAATTTGACAGATGAAGAAGACTCAGCCATGAGTGTGTGTGTGTGTGTGTGGTTTAAAAAGTCCATTTAATTGTCTTTGACAATCCTCCGGCTGTGTGTTTGCAATCAGCCAGGATCAGGAACCGGTGTGAGTGTGTGTGGTGCATGACTGGATCTGTAATCCATAAACTGGTGGATTTGTAATCTGTAGCGATCTGCAACTACAAGAGATCATAACAGATAGGTTTCATACAATATCTTTTTTTGTTGGGACAATATAAGGAATTAAGCTATTTTAGTCATTTATTTATTTATTTATTATTATTTTTTTTTACAAATTTAAGTGGATTGGACATAAAACAATTAAGTTGCCCCCCAACCCTCCCCAAAAATAAATATCATTTTATTAAAAAATTATTTTAAATAAATAGTTTGAACAAGCAGAGAAGATTTTTAGGTGACCAACTGTATAGTTTCATACAGTAACTGTTTTATAAAATGTTTAATAACACACTTAAATATGCTAAAAATGTGATTTTTTTATTTCATATACTGTCATGTAAACACTCAAAATATGCTATGTAAATTCTGTGTAATCTGATATATTGTCATAATTTCTGTCTTTGTGTATTAACACTGAACCTACTATTCTTGTTGTTTAGACCAGCTTCACCTGTAAAGACCACCACAAGGTATAGTAGTTCTTGATTACAGATTCATGACCAACTTGAAATAATCAAACTACTCTATTAACCTTTATTAATTGCAACTTTAGCATCAAGACTTATACCAAGGAGGATGTTACATCCACAAACACAAAGAGGTGAGAACCTTAAAGAAAACTCCATGCATCCAATTTCAGTCCAACTAAACAAGACTTTAGGAAGAGTGTTCGTTGTTAAAAATTACGCTTGTTGTTTGTTCCTAAAGTGACTCCAAGATGAGCCCTAAGTCATGACCCACATATTTACTTGTTTTTTAAACATCAATCCTATCTTAAAATTAAATCCACATCTAATTCTTAACCCTAAACTTTACTACACATGATGTGGTTAGAAAAAAAAAAATCTCATGTTAAAATTGATGACGACGCTTGAAGTTTCTATTTCAGAAATTACTATTTCTGTGATGCAGTGGTGGAAGAGTCTGGAAAAATCATACTCAAGTAAAAGTACCATTACTTGCCTGAAAATGTAGAGCAAATAAAGTAAAAGTATCTGTTGTAAATATTACTCAAAGTTTGAGTAAAAAGTAGCTTTTTAAAAGTACTCAAGAGTAGTGAGTATTGCACTTTGAAAAGTCGATGCATTAACATTTATGGACGTGTGTAAACGTAACATTCTGTAGTGCATTGAATTATTGCCCAGCAGGCACACAACATCGTAAGACGTTAATATTAGGTTAGATTTAGCTTTTCAGGTGACCAAAATTCAATGTCTAGTAGGGTTGGGCATCTAAGCTATAATGCCGATCCGATACGCATCTCGATACAAAGAATACGATCCGATATATTAGCGATACATTTGTGACATATTGCGATGCAACACGATACGATTCACACCCATATCACGATACGATGCGATATTTCAGCACTAACTAATTAGATCAAGTTTATGAGATGATGTGAAAGAGGATGCTGTGCCATTGAATGAGTTTGATTATTTATTAACCAAGCAAAACCAAGACTTTTTTACAAACTGGCTCTTCTCTCAGAGCCAGAGTGTCAGTTTACAGTAGAGGGCCATTTTAGAACATATAGCACATATTATTTAAGTATTTTCAAGATAAACAGAATGTATAAGTGCAATATATATTAAATATATATATATATATATATATATATTTGCACTCTTTCAACATAAATAAATTTAGCATTGCACAACAAAAATTGTGATTTAACTTTTCAACTATGAAAACAAGTTTTACAAAGATATATTTTGCCACTGATTATTCAAAACTTAAGGTCGTGAACTAGCAGTGTTATGCTGCGTTGAAACATCACTGTCACTGTAAACAACAGGCTAATAAAAATATAACAAACCAGCAATCTTCTTGCTGTGAGGTGGTCAAACTACCCACTGTGCCACCGTGACACCCAATTATTTTTATCATTATTATTATTAATATTATTATTATTATAATTAAATAAAAATTAACAGGAGGAGGTGTTTAAAACCTTCGTTCTCCGTGACACTAGGCTGAATATCTTTGCAGATGAACAATGCAATAACATCCGTTATTGGCGTAGAGCGAGCAGAACTGTTGCGCATGGAAAAAAAAAAACTCTCAATGCTTTTCTCACCACTTTTGGAGCTGGTTGAAGCAGTGCGAAAGCCGGGGATGCAGAAACATTAGAAGACGCTTTCACAACAACACCGAGGCGCCGCTTCAAGTGAGATATCAGATTAGTCGTACTGCCCGCGTATTTTACAGATGCGCGGCACATTTTGCAAATTGCATCTGTCCTGTCATGTCGTCCATCCTTAAATCCATAATTTTGCTTGCCATACTTTAGATTTAAAACTCAGTGGGGAATAAAATGTTTGTTTTGCTTCTCGCGCTTTCTGAGGGCGCTCCACTAGCTTCATCCGCACACCTGATACACTGAGTTGTAGTGTGTGCACATCCGCAAATCCGTTGCTAAGGCTTACTTTATGTAGGTCGATTAAATTATGCGCCAAAAGCAGGTTGACAACACTTGTTAATAAATAAAAAATACATTCTATATTAAAAATATAAGCTGTATCTCGGAAAAATCGATGCATCTCGCAAAAACCGATGCATCTCGATTTGCTTCCAAAATTTCATTCATCCTCTGCTGCTCTACCGATGCACTCGCATCGTGCACGCGCATGACCGCGTATCGATACATATCGGTTAATCTTCCCATCCCTAATGTCTAGACATCGTCTAAGGACAACATTATTTTGATGTTCAATAACAACATCAAATGACGATATTTGGATCTATTTCAGATTGTCTGAAAGACTGAAACGTCATACCAACGTCATATTGTTTTTAAATACTGACATTTATTCATCAGGTATGGCAACCAAAATCCAATGTCTGATAGACGTCATAGTGGTAACGCACACACAACATCAAGCTGTAAAATCATTAGACGTTGATATTTGGTTGGTTTTAGGTTGGACATTGACGTTGGCCTGATGTTGAGTTCTGAGGCTAAACTGATTTTCGTTTCCAAACAAAATGCAACACACCCATGACGTCAGGGTACTATGTCAATCTGACGTCATGTTGTTGATGTCTCGTGCCTGCTGGGTGTTTAAGGCCATTTTGGTCATCATACATTAAACATCCGTCATCTTCTCATCAGTGACATGCATCTAAACATGGTCTCTGGGTCATTGTGTGTAAAGATTTTGGACATCCTCTTGGACACTTTTAATGCTTCCAAACAGTTTGCTGCAATTATAAAACGCCCTTTCCTTGAGGTAGTTCATTATGATGTGATTTACCTTCTATGTGCGATTTGATTGGACAGGACTGACTTTTCTAATCCCCATAGACAGTAAATAATAAAGTAGTGTGACTGCAGGTTGTAGAGTGGAGTAAAAGTACCGATATACTGCACTAAAAAGTACTCAAGGGAGTACACATTTTTAAAACGACTTAGTAAATTACAATTCCTGAGAAAAACTATTTAATTACAGTAATTTGAGTATTTGTAATTAGTTACTTTACACCACTGCTGTGATGTCACGGCTGAACAACAGTGAAAACTACTATGACAATGATAACCTCAGGTCCTGATTATGTGCTGTATGTATACTGTAACACACATACATCACTGAGACATCTATTTAATTTTTGTGTTTACCAAAAATTTTTATCAGAGTGATTGTTCGTCTGCAAAACAATTATTAGAACAGATGTCAATTTTCAGATGCTAAATAGATGTTTATGAAATCTTTAAAATGTTTAAATTTATAATGTTTATTCAGCAGACATTATATAGATCCGTGTTTCTCAAGGGTCGCGGGAACATTTTCAGTGGGTCTTGGAGTGTGTGGTCAAAAAACAACAAAAGTTATTTTTTTTTCTTATTTTGCTTATACTAGACTTTTATTTTGAAATGTGTGCGCGACAACCCTACAATTTGACATGTGAAATTTCATTTATTATGGCAATAAATATGTCAAAGGGCAAGTACGACCCCGAATATGTAAAGACCTAAAGCCTCAGTGTCGTATGTAGTGAGGTGCACTCTTAAAGAGCATGAAACCTTCTAAATTAAAACGACATTTAGAAACTAGACAAATATTTTTATTAACAGTTCAGTTTAGTTCATGGTAACTGAACCTTTCCTTACCCTAACCACTGTTTCCAGTATTTGTGGTTTTTACTTTATAATTTTTCTATAATTTGATACATTTTGTTAAACAACAGCAATAAAATATTGTTTATTTGTGAGTCTTGGTGAATTTCTTATGATTTATCTGTCACTACTTGTTCATGTTAACAAATAAATACAAATTAATTATAATTGCTAAAATTGTATTATAGCTCCTAAAAATTTGGGTCGCGGGTTGATGACCATGTAAAAATGTGAGTCTATTGGCCAAACCAGTTGAGAACCCCTGATAATGATGTTTATTAGATCTTTGAACACAGCAGATATATCTTTAAAATACATATTGCATGATCAGAAAGACCGAGAAAAGGGATTCAGGAGAGTTATTACAACCTAACAAACACCTCCTTCTAACCATTTCAATTTGTTGTCTTAGCGCTGTCAAAACTGCCATTTGAAGGGGCATGGTTAAGTATGTTAACTACTCCTATACCTCAAATAATAATATGAGAATTTAACAAACAAGAAGTGCATTTTCAGATTTCAATTTTAGATTACAAGGGAAAACAAATTATTTTTTCTTAATGACATACACAGAAGAATTGTTCACCAAACTAGCAATGTGAGCTTACAAAATCAGTATGGTTAGTTCTGAGTACATGTGTACTTTAGTATACAATAAACAGATCAGCTCTGAATGGATGATTGGAATGTTGTTCCAGGAACAACATGTTAATATAGAAAAGTGACACTTGGTACAGTGTAAGTAAGTTACACGTAAGTAAGTTTTTTTGCTTTGTTTTTCTGCATTTGTATATTAAAATTCAACCTATCATTCTTTTTGTTTAGGCCAACTTCACCTGTCAAGACCACCACTAGGTACAGTTACAGCTAACAAATCCTGATAAAAATAATATGTCAACAGATTCCTGGTCTATAAAAAGTTGTCTACTCTTAGAACATTTAAACTATTTTAATTACAGCATCAAAACCTTCACCAAGGAGGATGTTTCACCAGCTAAATCAACAACAACAACAACCTACACCACAAAGAGGTGGGAGCTTGAAGTCATTTCACACTTTCAGTATTTACAATATAATTAAAGGAATAGCTCACGAAAAAAGGAAAATTCTGTCACCATTTATTCATTCTCATTACTCATGAACTTGAACCTTGAGACTAAAATGTTGATCCCTATATATTTTTGTGTGTCTAAAGTGACTACAAGACTGAAGTGGCTACTGTGAAGTCATCAAAGGACATCATTGATATGTGAGTATCATAAATCACTGCTTCACAACTGATGACTCATGAATTGAAAATTGGGGTAAATGTTAATATGGGACATTATTATGCATAGATATATACACTAGATCTCGCATAGGGTCCCTGAGCATGTGTCAATAGCGCCGCCACATTAGTACAGTGCTCCCAGGACAAATGTCATTCAACCACACTAGTCAAGACAGTGTTATTACATGAAGATGCGGGACTTTAGAGCTGTCTACGGGTGTAGTAACGAGCAAACAAAGAAAACAAAGCACAAAGGCAGAACATTTCATAGGTAAGATTAAGTTTTTTTCTGTTTTTGTATGTTCTGAACTTTTGTGCTAAACAGGTAACGTTATTGATGATAACAGTCACTTACTGCGTTCACCATACGGCAAAGCAGCTCCAACTCGCACTGAACACTCAGCTTATGCTAGTTTTGTTGAATAAAATCAGCAAACAATGCAAAAGAAATATGACAACGAGATGCTGCGGTGCCAGAAACTTGTATTATTGTCAGCTAACGTTAGTGAAAGAGTCGTTCGGGGGATTCAATCACAAACGAATTGCTCCCTCCGTCAGTATGAGAAGTGAAAGCAGGAGAAGAGGAGGTGTGTTTCAGGACACGGATTAGATCAAATTTAACAGGGAGGGTGGATAGTACATTTCTGTACACACAAACACAAGCTTTTTGTCAGAAATCAATGTAGAAAAGTGATGTAAAATTATAATTTTCGTAATTAGAAAAAAAATTACATCCTAACATCCAGGAAAACTCCCGATCATAGATATATGTGTATATGTGTATATCTCTGGCTTTGGATGGCCACAGTCCTTCACTGTACCTTGGTCTCGCATTCATTTCAAAGGAGCGCTACCCTGTAGCAAGATGGCGGCGCTATTGACGCATTCCGTCCAATAGACAACAATAGGCCAGGCGACATCTAATGTATATATCTATGATTAATATGCATGGCCAAGGCTGCATTTGATTGGCCACATTTCATACTGAAGAATATAATTCATATTATAACAATGACATTTGCCCCCTTATTTCTAAGTTTATCTAAGCTTATATAAACATATATGTCCTTTTTGAAAACAGTCACTTCTTTACATTGTTTTCTATAAGTTATTTGATGCACATATTCAACATAGGCTCATTCTGAAAACGTACATTGTGTTTAAAAGACAAAAGAAGATACTTTAAAGAATGTTTGAATCCAGGAACCACTAACTTCCATAGTAGGAAATACAAATACTGTGGAAGTTAATGGTTATAGGTTTCCAACGTTCTTCAATGTATGCTCTTTGTGTAAATAACAGGGGAAAAAACAGACTTTTTATTTAATACATACAGTTGAAGTCATAATTATTAGACGCCTTTGATTTTTAAATATTTCCTAAATGGTGTTTAACAGAGCAAGGAAATTTTCACAGTATGTCTGATAATATTTTTTCTTCTGGAAAAAGTCTTATTTGTTTTATTTTGGCCAGAATAAAAGTTTAAACTTTTAAATTTTATTTTATTTTTTTACTATTTTAAATTTATTACACCCTTTAAACTGTATATTTTTTAATAGTCTACAAAACAAACCATCATCATGAAATAACTTGCCTAATTACCCTAACCTACCTAGTTAACCGAATTAACCCAGTTAAACCTTTAAATGTCACTTTAAGAAGTATAGAAGTGTCCTGAAAAATATCTAGTCAAATATTGTTTACTGTCATCAAGGCAAAGATAAAATAAATCAGTTTATTAACTCAGAAATGAGTTATTAAAATGTTTAAAAATGTGTTTAAATTTTTATTTTCCATTAAACAGAAATAGGGGGAAAAATAAACAGGAGAGCTAAAAGTGTAATGACACATTTTAAATAATGAGGATTTAATTTACTTAAAAAAAAAAAAAAAAAAATTGATAGTTTTCTAGTACTGGGTTGTGGCTGGAAGGGTATACTGCATAAAACATATGCCAGAGTAGTTGGCGGTTCATTCCGCAGTAGTGACCCTTGATAAATCTGACTAAACTGAAGGAAAACGAATGAGTGAATGAGTAATGTACAGTAACTTTAAATGTAAATCCAAATTAAATTACAATCCAGTATGTACTGTATGTGCTGTAGTATTTGTATGTTTTAGCACACTCTCAGAAATAAAGGTACAGGAGCTGTCACTGGGGCAGTACGTTTTCAAAATATACATATTTGTACCCAAAGAGTCCACAGTAGTACCTCAATGGTGCATATTAGTGCCGAAATGTACCCAAAAAGTACCTTTGAGGTTCCATTATGGACCTTTCAGGTAAAAATATGTATCTTTTAAAAAGGTATTGCCCAAGTGACAGCCCCTATACCTTTATTTCTGAGAGTGTACTAAAACATACAAATATTAAAGCACATACAGTACATACTGGATTGCTATTTAATTTTATCTGACAGCCCCTGTACCTTTATTTCTGAGAGTGCATGTAATAAAAAAACACCAAAATAAGTGCATGTTAGAACACAAAAATGGTTTAATGTACGCGTTAAAATAAAAATTTAAATTAAATAATTAACTTTCATTAAGCAAACTTAAGTTGCAATACACTTTTTATAAGCCCTGTTTTTAAATGTACTTTTAAAATGAGATTTAAAATACATTACAATCACCATAAGATTAAGGGACATTTTGCATATTTTGGGATATTTCAGTATATTGTAATCCTAAAATACACCTAAAACGCTGTAGTAAAATTTCAAAATTCAATATGCTCAAAATAGTCCCTTTATTCTGTTGGAAGATGCTTTTAGTTTGTTGTTGTTTTTTAAACTTAAACCTATCTTTTTTTTGTTTTTGTTTAGACCAGCTTCACCTGTGAAGACCACAACAAGGTACAGTGGTTCTTAATTACAGATTTCCAACAAGCCTGAAATAATCAGACCATTCTCTATTAACCTCTTATTAATCTCAATGTTAGCATCAAAACCTACACCAAGGAGGATGTTACATCCCCTAAAACAACACCATATTCTGTGCGCTCCACAAAGAGGTGAGAGATCCTTAAAGAAAACTTCATGCTCAAGTCATTGCAAGACAAAGAGCCTCACTGAATGTTTCTCCACAGCTCTAAGGACTTTCTGTATGATACTCCTACTAAAACGTCAATCAGGTATGCGGTATCTAAATGACTCAGTCAACATTCTAAGAAACGGTATTATTTTTCATCACATTCTCAGCAGGCCACAGGATTGTGTAGTTCCGCCACTGAATATGTAAAGCATTTATTTAAAAAAAAAAAAAATGTATTTTTTTTCCCAAAGTGACTACAAGACTGAAGTGGTTACTGTAAACTCATCAAAGGACATTGTTGACATGTGAGTGTCATATATAATCTTTTTTTTTTTGCTGTTTCTGCACAGAATTTCATAAGAAAAAAATAAAATAAACTTCTTAACTAAGATCCTTAATAATATATGGTTTACAATGCAAATCCAATTAGAATCACTTGTAAATAAAGATACAGATCTCTCATATAATACATCCACTAAAAGGTTAAGAAAATATTATTTTACAAATGTAATTCCATGCAAATCAAATTTGAAATCTGAAATGAACATAAAAAATGCTATAAATATACACAGGTGAAGTTATTAGCCCCTTCCCCTCTAATTATTAACTAGGTTACTTAGGTTAACTAGGCAGTTTAGGGTAATTAGGCAAGTTATTGTATGGCTTGTTCTGATGGCTTGTTCTGTAGATTATCTGAAAAAAAAGCTTAAAAGGCTAATAATATTGACCTTAAAAAATGAGTTAAAATTAGTAACTGCTTTTATTCTGGCTGAAATAAAACAAATAAGACTTTCTCTAGAAGAAAAAATATTATCAGACATACTGTTAAGTTAATACATTTGCATAAGTAAATACATAGATTGAATTATGGGCTCAAAAATCTGTGGATTTATGTGGGCACAAATGATAACTTACATCAATAAAAATACATCAATAGACATAAAATAGCAAAATAAAGTCCTGTATAAAAACATAGACATTTGTTGGAAAATAAATAAATTGTATATGTAACTTTTATGAAAAAAGTGCACTTCTGCATACTGTACAGTACTTTCAAAAAGAGCTCTATTTATGGAAGTAATATTGTTAGTAATTATTATGAATTAATTAAGTATTGTTAAGTTGAAACTGAATGTAATGTTTTCAGACAGTTAATTATATTAAAGTTACAATTAATGAAAATGTATTAAATGAACTTTATAAGTATTGTTGTCCTGCTTAAGGAATTAATTACATATTTTTTTTAAATTTTGTCTTGTGTCTTTGAAATATGATCAAAGAAACTACTAAATGTACCAAAACCATTATTTTTAGTCATATTTAGTTTCTTGTTTGCAATTTAAATTTAAACTAGCTTGTTATTTACCTAACTACGTTTATATAATGATATATTTGAAAGATTTTAACAATTTAATTTTATTAAATACATTTCATACTAAATGTAAGTTTCCATAATATAATAAAGTAAATTATGTAATCAAATTATAATCAAGTTGACTTGTATGTAAGTAAAAACACATCGAATTAAAGATTATTAAAACAAATTTGTTGAATACATACTTTTATCTTTATAAAAAATGTTTAAAATGTTTAACTCTCTGTTCCTTGGAGGTAAAGTTCACCCTAAAATCTCAACTCAAGTGGTTCCAGACCTTTAAGAGTTTCCTTTTCTGTTTGAACAAATGAAGATATTTTGAAGAAAGCTAAAAACCTGTAACCATTTTCTATAGTAAGAAAGTCAAATATTATTTAACTCAATGGTTTTAGGTTTTCAACCTTTTTCAAAATATAATCTTTTAATCTTGTTCAAAAGAAGAAAGACATTTTTGGGTTAACTAATCTTTTAGGTTGGGATTAAATTTATTATTTATTATTATTAAATTTAGTATAATATATATATATATATATATATATATATATATTTTTTTTTTATTGAGTATAGTATTTTAGAATGTACATTTTGATTTGAGATTTAAAATACTGTTGAAATCACAATTACTAAACCCCCTTTTTCTTATTTAAATATTTAAAATGTTTAGCAGAGCTGAACATAATATTTTTTTCTTCTAGAGAAAGTTTCATTTGTTTTATTTTGGCTAGAATAAAAGTTTAATAACTCTGTGTTTAACTGTACATTACATGTCAACATTCCATTAAATGAATTTTTTCACAACAGTACTACTACTAATGTTTGCATATTTTTTAGATAGTTTTAAATATTTTAATCCTAAAATACATCTCTCACAATGTTTCAAATCCACCCTACCCTAAACTGTCTCAAAATTCTGTCACTGTTAAATTGGTTTACTGTTTTTTAAACCCAATACTTTCCTTCTTTATGTTTAGACCAACTTCCCCTGTCAAGACCACCACAAGGTACAGTAATTCTTGATTTCAGATTCATGACCACCTTCAATTACTCAGACTGCTCTTTTAAAGGGCAAAACTGAAAAATCATCGTCGGCTCACCTTTCACTTTTCACAAACCTGTTTGAGTTTCTTTCTTCTGTCAAACACAAAAGATGATAATATGAAGAAAGCTGAAAACCTTTAACCTTTGAATTCTATAGCATTTATTTTTTCCAACTATGGAATTCAATCATAACCAGTTTTCAGCTTGATTGATTGGTAGAATACTGATCTGACGTTTGTGTGTATGTGTGTGTGTGTGTGTGTGTGTGTGTGTGTATATATGGTTCTTGAATCTGATTGGGTGATAGCCGTGTGATATTCTGCCAGTAACAGCACTTGTCCAGCCTCTGCAACCTTCACCCTTGTGTATTACTCCCCCCACATACAGCAACAAGCAGAGGACACTCTACAGTTTGCCAAATATTGCTGCTGTTGGGCAACATAATGTACTTTTAAGGATTTTTTTTTGTTGTTGAGAATGTAGTTGTTTAAATTGCAACTATGCAGATTATTCATAAGGATAGTGCCTATTTTCAATTATTCATAATATTTGAGAGACAGCGCGTCAGCGGCCATTAGCCTGTCTTTGAAGACAGTCCTTGCTTCAGCCCGCAGCCTAATGACGTAGTTGACAATGGATTACACCTCCACAACCCTGAACCCAACCGTCACAGTAGCATGGCCGCTACTTTAGTGGGCGGTACAAGGTCTGCTATGTAGTTGATGATTACCTACACCTCCCCCTACCCTAAACCCAACCGTCACAGTAGCATTGGAGCTACCTTAGTGGGCAGTACAAGGTCCGCTACGTAGTTGACGATCGACTATGTCATCAAGCTGCGGGCTGCAGCAAGGACATCTTGTGTCTTTGAGCAACGACGGTTAACAAAGTTCATCGATAAGCCCTAAGAGAATAACTGTGTAATTTCAAACTACAGCTGATCAAATCATTAATAAACAGATAAATGACTTTCTAAGTCGATCTCTCTCTTATGTATGCTGTAGTGCTATATTTATACCATAGTAATATTATGATCTCCCGATTGCAGCAGAGAAATACTGGGGAATCTCTGTGCAATGAGATGGCATTTCATTCTGTTCAGCCTTATAATCTTAAAATGTGAGCAAAATCACCTGTTTTGTCATCACTTTAGACATTACGCTAAAGAGTCATTCAAATACTATATATATATATATATATATATATATATATATATATATATATATATATATATATATGAGCAATATCACACAAGTAGCACAACACATAATAGCACTATAATTGAAATAGGTTTAACTGTATTGTTGTGTATTGTCCTTGTACAAATAAACTAAACTAAGAGCTTTCTTCAAAATATCTTCTTTTGAATCAATAGAGGAAGTGTAAATCGTGACAACATTTTCATTTTTGGGTGAACTATTCCTTTAACATCTTATTAATTCCAGCTATAGCATCAAAAGCTACACTAAGGAGGATGTTTCGCCAACTAAAACAACATCGGATTCCATCCGATCCACAAAGAGGTGACGTAAAATTCCAACTACACTCCCTAAAATATTTTCAGTCACTGTAAAACAAAGAGCATCACTAAATGTCTCTCCACAGCTCGGAGGATCTTCTGTACGATACTCTCATACCGCTGTCAATCAAATCAACTAACAGCAAACCTGACAGCAGGTATGTTGCATTTGCACATTTATAAGGTGTGAACCCCTTTTGTGATGAGTTTGACATTTGCTTTGGCTTTTAAGTAGTTTAACCAGTCTTACGGCTGACTGGCTTAAAGCAGGCATACAGTTGTATTTAAGCTCTTTCATGACTTTTCATTAGAGCTTCCCTCTCAGCACAGCAGTGTTTGTAATATGGATTTTTATGGTTCTTACAGTCGTGAGGATTTGTCATCCTCCAAAACTGTCAGAACCGTGTACTCAACAATTGACAGGTAGGAAAATGTTTATTATTCAAGCTTCTTTTGCTAAAAAGTAATTTATTGTACTCTTATATATCTTTTTTTGAATAAATAGAAATGAGTGGAGTACAGACTTAAGTCCTTCTTACACCAGAACGTCATACACAGAAAGCAGGTTATGATGCATTTTTGGCATTTAAAAACATCACACACCGCATTTAAACAATGTTGATTAAATGAGACCAGGTTTGTTGATTTGGGATTGTTTTTTATCCCCACACAGGCCTTTTGAATACATGTCGGATTCTCTCACATCAAAAACTACTACGACTGTATACTCATCACCGGAAAGGTATGGAGGCGGAAATAGTTTTCATTTAATTAAGTTATGCGTATAGTGCACATTTGAAATGCATGTTGTTTTGTTGCAGGAAAGTAAATGCGAAGGACATCTGCACATATTGCAATCAAAGCATGTACACAGATGAAAAGTTTATCTTGGATGACATGAACATAAACTGTCATGCAAGATGTTTCAAGGTTAGTTATTATTATTATTATTATTATTATTATTATTATTATTATTAATGAAAATATACATAATTTATTATCAATCACATAGGGTTCATTAGAAGTTTGAAGGCTTTGTTTTCCATCTTAATTTTATTTTGAAAGTTTTCTTTTGTGGTTTTCTGAAATTTTATTTTTAAAAAATATCGTCAAAAATGTTTTGAGTTTCAAATATGTTATAAACTATAATGGTTTTCATAAATATTTTTAATATATATTTGTATTTTCTAACAAAATATTGGTAATTATTATTATTATTATTATTATTATTATTATTAATGATGATGAATATTTAAATATTTGTTGTCCAAAATATTTTACCATCTCTAACATAGGTTTCATTAGAAGTTTGAAGGCTTTTATTTCCTTTGTTTGTTTTCTTTTGTTAAAAATATTGTTTATGTTTTGTTGTTTTTTATTTGTTTATTTATTTTTTATTTAATTACAGAATGTTAATTTCAAAATATGGTTTTAGTGTTATGTTGATAAATATGTATAAATGAGTTTTAAATAAGTTACTTATAAACTATAATTGTTTAAAATATATATTTAAATGTTTATTTGTGTTTTCTAACTAGTCGTATTTATTGTTATTATTTTTAATATTATTGTTATTATTATTATTGGTATTATTATTATTATTATTATTATTATTATTATTAGTCCCAGTACTGGGAAAACATATGCAGGATATGTTGGCGGTTCATTCCACTGTGGTGAAAAAGGGACTAAACCTATGGAAAAGGAATGAATTATTATTATTATTATTATTATTATTATTATTATTATTATTATTATTATAATTAATGAGTATATAATTATGTGTTGTCAAAAATATTTTAGCATCAATGACAGGATTCAAAAGAGGTTTGAAGGCGTTTTTTTTTTTTTTTTTGCTTTTTATTTTCATTTGAAAGTTTTGTTTTGGGGTTTTCATCATTTTAGTTATTTGTTACGTTTTAACATTTCATTTATTCATTTCTTTGTTTATTTTTTCCAATCTAAAATCTCAAACAATGTATGTATATCATTTTATTTGCTCTAACTTTAATGCTATTTTCAACTGACATGGTTTTAGTTTCATGTACAAAGTATATATATATAAGTTTATAATTTATAAGTTATAATAAGTTATAAGATAAGCTTTCAACTATAATGATTTTCATAAATATTTGTTATGAATATTTGTATTTTCTGATAAAATATTTGTATATTTATTATTATTATTATTACTTAACTAATTATACATTTTGCCAAATTACAAAATTGAATTTAGGTATTCACTGTTTATGAAAACATTATGAATAAAATAGGAATAATAATAAAAAAAACATTTAAATGTTTTAGTTTAGTTTTAACATTAAATTATGTGTTAAATATTTCAGAATCAGTTGATATGTATGAATGATTTTTTGTTTGTTTTTGTTTTGTTTTTGGTTCTTTAGCTGAATGTTTGTTTTATTTTTCATCATTTTAATAGTTTATATAAAATTGTTTATTTAGTTTTAACCTTCAGGATTAATATAAACTGAAAGATATATATCTTATATGTATATCTTTTTCAGTTTATTATAATCCCGAAGGTTAATCTAAAGTATTACATGTATATCATTTTATTTTCTTTAATGTTACTTTTAAGTAAAACTTTTTCTTCTTCTTTTTTTTAACGTTTTATCTATAATAAATATTTCATAAATATTTTATTAATATTTCTTTTTTTTTGTATGTATGTATGTATATAATATGTATAATATAAACATACTCATGTATGATCTTTATTGTTAGTGTGGGGTGTGCAATACTTCACTGGGAAACCTGAGGGCTGGGGACAGCCTGTGGGTTTACCAGTGTGCGATTCACTGTGCAAGCTGCTTTGGTGTCACTAAGAGTAAGAAAACTCTATACAACTACATTTTTCAGTATTCTGAAACAAATAGTCAGTATGCTTGGCTAATAAACCAAAATGTATTTTAAACAAAAGCATATGTTTTTGTTTTACAGACAAATGGATGCGCTGAAACAGTTCCCACTGAAGAAGTGAGCTAATGAAGGAGATGATGGCAAATGTGATAAAACTGCCTATACACTGATTAGACATGGACACGGGTCATTCGATTTATGGTGGTGGACTTCTATCAGATAGAGTTTGGGGTTTATTCATTGTATTAATAGATATTTATATACTTATACAATTACCAATACTAATAGGACTATTTTAAAGGAAAAATAACATTATTTTCATATATTTTATGACTGTATTAAATGCAGAAACACATTTGTTTACATCTGAATGATTTTTATCAGTCAGATCTGGTTAAGCATCATTCCAGTTAGCCTGTCTCTACTGTGCAATTTGCATGTGCTTGTGCTTGATGTATTTAAGGAAGTATTTCTATTAAAGAGAACTGAACATGCTCTGATCAAGGCATCTTATGTCTTATGACAAGATTCCTATGGGGATACAAATAAAGAGCTAAAGTTAGCTTGAAGCTGAGAGACTTTGCTTATATAATAGGGTTTTGGACCTAAAAATATGATTTCAACTATATGACAACTACTAGAACAACAAACCCTTGATACTCAAATACACTTCATTGAATATGGATCATACACTTAGACCTCACCCTTTTTGAACGGACACTCTATACTGTATAACTGCAGGTTAACTGTTTACAGTTTTTCTCAGTGGCTTTGGTGCATTTCTCACAACACTATTTACATTTGCACAACAGGTCATGCATTTCTCAAAACAATTAGTCATTTGTGCACATCATAGTAGCAGTTTCTCATTCCTTTCAACAAATTTCAAATGCTTTTGGACATACATCAACTGCTTTCATTCAACTCTCTGCTGTTTATAACATTATCATTTGCTTATCTCATGTCAGTCAAAATGAACTCAACTTGCAAATGCTAAATAGTCATTCCATATAAAACTAACAGTGCTCATTTCATTACTTGAGTCATTACATACAAAAATGTTGAACTTGATGTCAAAATCGGTTAAGAAAACTTTATAATTTTTTTTAACTTTATTTTCCTGAAAATGTCTTTAAAATTGAACAATTTGATGAATGATTTACAGACCTGTGTATGTTGCAGGTTCAGGTCCAATATGTACTGAAATATTGTTTACAGCTGTGCACAGTTCAACCCAAAGGGAGTTTATGTTTGTTGTAAATAAGGGTGTGTTTTTTCTTTTGCACAATGCTGTGAATAAATTAGGATTGTAAAGAGCAAATGCAGAGTAAAAATGTGAAACATACATATTCAGTGTCTTGTACTCAGATACCTTACTAAATGCAGTGATGTCCAACTTTACTGTAGTTTTCAAATGACTGTGCAAATAGTATACAGTGCTGTCTTGAGAATTTTCAGGAAGTGTCACCAAAATCTGACTTTTTTGCATTGAAAAAATGTCCAGAATAAACTCATAATAAAAACATGACTAAGCCATTTGACTATTTTGTTCATAAACAGTCATTTTGTTCATAAACATTCATTTTGATGGCACTGACACTTTGATAGACATGAATACTTGCTTTTGAGGAATGAACAATCTATTTTGAGCATGTGACACGCTTTTGCAGGTTATCAGCTAGGTTTTGCAGTTTGTACTAATTGTTTTGAGGAATGCATTAACTGTTGTGCAGAAATGCACTGGTGTTGTGAGAAACGCACCAAAGAGACTGAGAAAAACTGTATATACTGTCCACCCTATACACAACTCCTTACCTTTTTTGATTTTGACTATTATAATGATGTGCACCTTTTGTGAAGCTGCTTTGAAATGATCATTATTGTAATGATGCTATAAAAGTAAACTTGAATTGAATTGAATTAAATATGGCCAATGAACAGGTTTTTGAAAATGTATAAATATGATTTTTTATATTAAACATCTATCTATCTATCTATCTATCTATCTATCTATCTATCTATCTATCTATCTATCTATCTATCTATCTATCTATCTATCTATCTATCTATCCAAAACAAATGATAATATGTTTCGAAATGTAGACCACAAAACGTACAGCATGTATCACTTTTAAAATTAAACCTGCTTGCAAGAAAGTAATTACTGGGAAATATTTATAAATATGTTTGAAAGAAATTTATTTTACTTTATTTGTTTTTACAGTTTTTCTTGTTTGCTTTGACCTGGTTAAAGAAACTAGGTTCCTCTTCATTTTCATTATCACTATCCCAGCAGAGCAGAAGACCGGTCTTGCAAATGTGTAAACGCTTTCTCATTGGGTTGACACATTTTCCCCACTATTTTTCAAAACAGTTAACACTGATGTCATTCAAGCAGTCCAAACTCCATTGTTTTAGTTATGGTAACCAAACAGAAACCATCTATTCCTAACTATTAAAAGCTACCAACATCAGTCTGAAATCACTGAGGCACCGGTTTGACACTTCTTCACACAAATCTTCAATTAGCAGTCAGTCTGTAAATCTTATAAAAACGATGGAAGGTCTGTGTTGTTCTGTGCCAGCATTGATGGAGGAGGTCAGTATGGCTATGTCCTATACTCCCAATAGATTTGACTGTATATTGGTTTACATGTGTTTTCTCTAATATTTACAGTATTTTATTACTTTTGTCTGGTTTTTTTTTAATACAGTATTTCAGTTTTCAGTCACAGGTTGAAAAATTTTATGAATAATTCAATATATATTTAATCAAAGCATATCTTATTCTGGATCCAATTCTTTGCAAAAAAGGTAAATTTGACAGCCCAAATAGAAAGACAACAAATGCTAGTGGCAATAAGCTACAGTGGCAAGCAATGGTGGTGCACTGAGTTCTGTATTTTGTTCTCCATTGTGTAAAGATTAATTCAAAGAGCTCATATACTTGTTTGCAAGTTGTGTTGTTTGAAGGTAAAACTAGCTTTTGTTTCATATTTTAAATGTTTTGACACGATATGTGCCTTTTGTAAGCAAAATGTGTCATTTTGACCATGAGTGCCGCTGTTTAGGGCTGTGTGTTAACTGTTTTGAAAATGTGGAGTTTCAGTTGACGGCTGCATCAAAGCAATCAAGAAAAACTATAAGTATTTATGAAGTAATTTCCAAATTTTGGGCCATAACAAATCATTAACATAGCTATTCCACACTGTAAAAAATTTCCAGGTTTTCACAACAAGTTACTGTAATTTTTCACAGTAAATTACATTAGTATCCCTTCACAGTATTTAACTGAAAAATTCACAGTAATATGTTGTATTCATAATTTTATTGTGAAATTACGGCAGGTAGCATGATTACAGCAAATTACTGTGAAAAGGGCTATATCTTTTGCACGTTAGTTATAGAAATTCAAACCTTTTTTAAACTCAACGTAGAAATTAATACAAATGAACTTTTAACAGATAATACAGAATGTTATAGCCCCCAAAACGATTTGGTTACCAACATCTTTTTTAATTGTACTGCACCTTTATTTAATTTTATACAGTTAACATAAAAATAGGAAATAATATTTAATGAACATAACTGTGTGCTTAGCCAAAACATAATAAACTGGAATAAAAAGTAATTAATTAATGAAACCAAAGACTGTTAAACAGCCAACAATTATTTCAATGTCAGGGTAAATGTCTGCTTTAGACGGTTTCATGAGTATTGGGCACCTGTCATCGCCTGGAGGTCACTAATCTCAGAATTAAATATATATATAAATTATTATTTTTTTATCTATATAAATAAACCACAGATTAGAGTTTTAAACAACTACATTCTAGCATGAAAAACAGTTAAAACTTCATTTTCGGACGCATATAGAGCCATCGAAGACGGGGCAATTGTCCCAATGTCTAGCCTGAAGACAGGCGCCTCTCGGCGGATACATGAGTAAAGAGCGCCGTTACCGCCTGGAGGTCATAGATCTCCGCTACCGGCAAAACACACTTAAAATTACACACAATCTTTACTAACAGTCCACAGATTTGAGTTTTGAAGAACTACATTCTCGCATGAAAAAGTGTTAAAACTTTATTTCATTACATATTACAAGCATTATTTATAATATTATGTGCCTTCTCATCCACCATTACAGCTTGATGCAGCTTGGTGCAAAATAAATCCTGGGAGGAAAAAATAATAATTCTCAATACACTCCAAACGAACTTTATTCTTATTGTTGAAGTCAGAGATATGTAATATTTTGAATGGCGAAGAAAATAATTAACTTTATAATTCAATCAATATATTACTCTTAATATATTACTGCTTCGGTTCAGGACTCGTGTGACATTGAATCAGATTCAGATATTTTATCAGACGTGTTCATGAGCTCGAAGTGATCAACAAGCAATTCGTGTACAAGCAGTACACGAACCAAGCAATATGATGAAATATTAATGAATTATATGTTTGCGTCTTACAATATTATACAAAACGGAATCGTTTTCAGGCGAATTCG